TTGGAGCAGGAATGCGGCATTGAGATCATCAGCGTCCACATCTACGTTCGACCGTATTTTCTTCCTTCCACAGAGAAGTCTTATACCTTGCCACAGATATTTGCTAATAACCATCCACCTCCTTCTCCTCAAAGACTTCTCTCCTCCCTTAAGATTCACCAAGAAACCATGAAAAATCACATGGGAATCTCCGTTTGGGAGTCTGAAGAAGGTCGATCTAGTCCGGACAAAAGTGAATGACTATAGGGGGGATAAGGATGTAGTCAAACCATCTATTCATAAACCTCAAGTCCCAGTAAACCCGTAATTTTACTGGGTATCAAAACCATGAGCTAATTTTTGAATTCGGTCTCCATCTGCTTGCTAAAGTTACCATCCTGATCTAAGATCTGAACCCGAGTGTCCTTATCCGGATTTGTGTTGCCTAACTTGTAAGAGATCAACAATTCATCACGGAACAGAGGTTATCTATTTGTAATCGTGAGACTAGCATTCATTATTATAAACCCGTTTTCACTTAACGGCGAACAGCATTAGATATAACCATACAGAACACTGTTGACACAGGGAAACATCAATCGACGTCGTTCAAGTTGATGAAATTTTCTCTGATTTTACTTCGATTTCATCATCATCGCCACTAGTTTGTTGTACCAGATCACAAATGACCTCGACGACAGCAATCAACCTTGCGCAGCTGTTCATAATTTACCTAGAGCAATACAAAATTGATGACTTTACTTGTGTTGACCAGAAAGGTAGATATTAATTCTTGTCGAGAAAACTCCCGTGCCCCTGGAGGAATGGTCAACGTATTTATCAATACACTTATAGGATTGTCACTGAAACTAAATTTTGAAGGGGCTTCGTGAACCTTAAAGACGTCAGCTTAACTAGTTGAATCGAACTACTGCACAATTAGATTAACAAAACATTATAGTAGCAATTCGAATAAAAAGGTATACGGCATCTTACTAGGTAACCGAAAGCGAGAACCGATAAAAGACTTACTCCATTCAAATGAGCCAAGTTCGAGGTGAGACTTCGTACATTGTTACTGTGCAAAGCGTAGTTCAGCTCAATCGCAAACTGTTCCGCGGTCCTCGTCTGCGATCCGTAGAAGATAACTACTTGTAAATTCTTTCGGGAAAAATGTGTGGAAACCGTGGCCCACGAATACCTGTTGCTTTACAATTTCAACGATTTGTTTGTTTCTGGTTTCCGTAGTAACACTGAAAGTTGCATGGTGTGTGTAAAATGAGCTGACAGAAATTCTCTTTTTGAACAGATAAAGCACTGCAAGCAGGAGTCCAACAACAATAAAAATGACATCCACGGTCGTGATTTGCATGCTCTTTTCTGGCAGAGAACTAAACTGACGGTTAGTAGTTGTGATTCTGGGATCAAGGATTATCTAAAACATAGAGAAAAGTTCGCACTCAATGACAAACCATAAGCAAATTCATTCGATGACAAAGTGAAAGTGAGGGCAGAAGTAAATTTCATAACCACTTGTATAAAAGAATTAAAACATTCTCACTGATCTCATATATGGTCCCTACTGGATGATATTTGTAGGATGGGTAGCATGTATGTGCCAAATAATCTTGAATGTATAATTAAACACATACAGAACACTCAGCGCGTTCCAATAGCTCAGATTTACGAAAAGCAATAAACGAATTTGATTACGACCTTAGTGCTCAGTAAATCACAGTTAGGCCAGTAAGCGGAACATTATCGTGGGTCGGAAATGCGTCAGAAACGTGCACTATAATGAATACGACCGCTGTCTAGCTGTAGATTTATCTACATCAGCCACATTGGCGGTGAAGAACCATCACGAGCAACAATGTGGGAAGTCCCGGTTTCAGCACACAGTATGATGAACATTAAATTACACGGATTAACCGTTTGGTTATGATATGATGTCACCAACTGATCCATTCCCGCATAGTATTACATTCTACGTGACTACAAGGACAAATCAACCGAAGACCAAACATTCCTCACTCCGTCAATGGTTTGGAGCATACTCCCTCAAACTGTTTTATGGTGCTTGTATTGCGTTTACTTGAGTGCCAATGTCATAAATATTGAACGAGAATAGTGGTAGGCACATTACTAAAGTTAAACGGTGTTAAACGTCGTGAATAAATCAGATAGAAAAGGTTTGTTCTGCTCCTTTTGATTCATACTGCTCTATAATGGAATAAATTTCTGCTAGACCACATGTTGTAGCAGTCCGTGGTACTTGTCAGGTTTATCATACCCGGAGGCTACTGCAAGTTTACGTCCAGTAAAGCTACCCCCGGATGAGTCCCTGGATGGCGGATAGAACGGACAGTTAGATGGGTAATCGTGAATAGATGGGCATTGCTCAGTCGAAGAAGAGCGCGGGAAAGGTTGGCAGGGATATTAGTGAACATGGAGAACTTCCTCCTGGCGCGAACTTTCAGCATAAAAAGCCAAAAATGTTCATTATAAATATCGAGATTTGCGCGAACCTGATCGACCGCTAAGTAAAATCATCACAACTGTCTTGCTATTGTACGGGTGGAACTTGACTGGGTTAGTGATGCCCCCCTCCCCCCCTGGGAAGAGACTTTAGCATTGTGCCAACTTGCCCAACTTTTACATAAGAGGTTTCTAGGGTTGCGGTTGATCACTCTTCCCGCGAATTGTTCCCACACGACCAAGCGTCTCAAATAGCCTCTGCTGAGGAAGTCCTACTCACTGCCTTCTCGTGGCGGAGGCGTTTTCAGACCAAAGAGGGGACGAATAGCCGACATCCCAGGGCTATAACCGAGTTGGTGGACCACTGGTAGTTCACCTAGGGGAGTTCGCCAAAAACCCTAATTCCAAATGAAACAAAAAGAGGCGTACGAACCACACACAAATTCTTCGTTGTGGCAGTGGTCGCCGGCTTGATTGGGCATCCAGGTGTATTGGGCACCTAGGACGTTTGACCTGGTCCAAAGGGCGTGTGATCCGACGAACTGGATACCGGCCCCTAATGGATTGCGGTTTTCACACACCGCCCCGCTGCCTTGCAAGTCAGGCTTTGGCTAGCTGAAGGCTTCGCCTGTGAATTCCTCAAGAAAATGCACCTGCCTTGGCCTGGGCAATCTGGCAGTATACAGCCCACGTGCAAATCACGGAACGTTTTACTTTTTCACAAAGATTATTGTACCATGATTTTTATGGCACACAGTCTGGATTCAGACGTGTGTGATATATACATATGTCTTGAGCAGTTGTTTTATTCGTTTACCATATAATAAATTTTTAATGTATGAACATTTCACATATCCTCCGAAGTTTTGCAACGATTGCGTGAGTGGAGACTGAGATTCCGATGCAAAAAATAAGAATTGGATGAAGGTAACAAAGTATTTTTCTATTACATGAATGAGTTTCATATTATTGCACTAAGCAGAGATGAACATCGAGAATTTATAAAAGTCGGTGGTTTTCGATATTCTGTAAAAGCTTGAGTATACTCTGATGGTAAGATTCCGCGTTTGAATCATTCTCAACTATACAGTCCCATTCAGAAAAAGCGTCCAATGCGCATTCTGTCTCGGCATCGTCAATGCCATTGGTGAATATCCAACCACGTGCTTTGCGAGTGGCTTCGGAGGCAATCACGCGTGTCAAAATGCATTTGTGTCGACCCCAAAGGTGAACGAAGAAAGAAATATCACAAGGTCGACGCGCATCAGCTACTAGAACAACATCTGTGGCATAATGAATCGGTTCAAGGAAATGCTGAAGAGCTTCTCGAACGAAAATGTGGGGATCTTTCTTTTTCTCTTCCTCGCTCCATTGGACCATTTCCTTTCGATAAGTCTCCTTGTAGGATCCGGAAGATAAAAGTTCCTTCAAATCCAGACCATGAAGTTGCGCATAACTCCGTTTGATAGGATAACTCAAATGCACCACAACATGAGATATACTCTTTGCGTTTAACTCCGAACAGATGACATTCACTGTATGGTCCTTTCCACACTTGCGTTTCCCCGTTATGACTATGCATACTGTTTTCAAAGTTAACATTGTGGTAACATATTTACCCTCTCACCTGGAATTCTTTGAATTCTCTGTTGTAGTTCCTGGTCATTTATGATCATGGCACAGCTGCGTGTACATGAACGAGTATTTGGTTAGTGATATACTGCAAAATCTATTAGTGGAAAAATAAAGATCTGTGTCGAAAAAATGAACTCTTAGGAAGAACAACACAAAGACCTGGAACGATCGAATTAAAAGTCACTGAATGGCTTTCTATTCGGTACTGACTAAAGGAAAATTGTATTAATAATTGTTCTGTGTAACCTTTTTCTACATCGTCAACTTAACGGCAAATTAAAACGCAAAACAGCATAAGAGTGGAGATCATGAGTCAAAAGTAGCAACAACAATCTGAAGGAACTTATAATTTGATTAGTTGTGATGTTAGTGCGCAGTGGTTTAGTCGCCGTCACTGGTGTGCTTTCGATTCCGTGGTCTGGGGCTCGAATCCAAGTACCACCAGTCAACTTTGGTGATAGGTGGCCTCGCTGTTCAATACCACACCTAACTCGGTGGGGCCTCAGGTGACTCGTCACTCCAAGGACCGGGGCCTAGGTTACCGATTTCCATTACTGAATAGCAGATCTAAGCCACAGTGGTTAACCTTGTCTACCGTTCGTCACACAAGAAGTATCTAATAAATAAAAAGGTTGTACTCAAAGTGGATAACACATACTGACTTAAGATTGTTAATTCTTCATGGCAGCCTCTGACTGTCGATGACCCACTTTCGGAGCATTAACAGTTTTTCGATGAGGAAAACACGTGAGTTTGTAGAGACAGTAGAGAAAATATTCAGCCAAACTAAACAAACATTTCGCGGAACAGCCTGATCCGTAGTGTTACTAACCCGCTAGCCTCATCTCACTCAAGCCAAACAAGGTGAACACCAACCGCCGCAAACGTCCCGTCAACGGATACCTCTCACAAATAAACTTAGAACTATCAAGTAGATTCAATCACACTGGATCCCTTAGCTCACATGAAACGTCACCGACGACAAGTGTTTCACTTCTATACTATACTGTCATCAGCAGTGATGCAAGTGAGTAGGTAGAAGTAATCAGGCGTAACCAATATTGGTCCATCGAAATTAAAAGTCGACAACCCCCGCTTTGCAGCATCACTCTGAACTTCGAGGGTGCAAATCACAATGAAAAGAGTGACAGACTGTCAAATGCAGTTTTCTTATGCTTCATATATTTGAATTGACAACCGATATCATCAGTGTACAATAAACTACATGCTGTTTTGACCATTATCTAATAACGATATTTTGCCGACCACTGAGCGTTCACCGATATTTCATCTAAGAAATGGAAGTCAGCAATGGTAAATATGGCCGAATTGAGGAACATCGCTTTTTATTGCTAACCAGTAAATTAGCTCACTACAGACTCCCACTAGATCGGAAACACATTAGTATAATGGACTAAATAAGAAAATAGGCTGCTGATCACATTTCTTTGCGAAGTAAACCGAGTTAGATACTTTCTTCAGGCCAAGAAACACTGAATTAAACGAAATTGCACATATCACTATCAACACGTTACAGCAAAATACAATTAGGTGGAAATCGTTAAATACCATAAAATGATAGTGCACAAAGTAGATGTGAAGCGATGCGGCAGTGTGGTTATTCTATGGAGGTAAAAACTCGAAAAAAAATGTACCATAAAAGCCTAACCAAAAAGAAAAAGAAACATGACTATGAAAAGACGCAGGTTAGGAACAGCCCACGTGACATTTCACTCTCGAAAAAAACTTGCTAAATTCAGCATAATTTATTTTACATATTTCATGGGGCACACAAGGAACCTCAAATACCGTACGATTTCTCCTCTTATCCTAATTCCTTGTTAAGTAAAATGCCATATTTTATTGTGTTTACTCTTAAGTCAAGATTTTGTTATATTATCAATGTCAGAGTGCAGAAAAAGGTTTATCTTTTGGGGAATTAACGATCTTCCACGGAGTGAAACCCACACCCAAGACTATCAAGAGTGTCTGGTACCTCTGAACAATCGAATGGGCTAATCCAAGCTTGATACTCTAAGGTTTTTATTCAACTTTATACGTATATTTTACGAAGGTAAAATTTTTAGATACCACATACAGGCAGTGACTTTTTTCAGCTGTTTTGTGATCGAAATCAGGGACCACCCCAATGATGTGGTGTACACAAAATGACTTGTTTGGAATGATGATAATTAAGGGGACGGGTGAAACCAAGAACTGCCTATAAAAGTTCTAAAACATCTTGAAACCAGTAGTGGCCTAGAGGCTGGCGTTAGGGTTCGAAAAGCGCAAATGATAAAGACCAAAAATAATAATGAGCTATTTAGTAACTGGTTTACGAGGTAAGTTTGCAGGGCAACGGATGTTTTATCCTAAGAAGCAGCAGAACCAATACAGACCAAAACGAAGAAAGTGTGAATACAAATTGATGTGGCTTATAATTTTTTATTAGGGAGCCTACTGCTGTTTTTGGATTATGAGATTAGCCTCCATTAGCCTCCGAAAGCCTCAGTGTGGTCCGGGTGGATGTCTTGGGTAGTGGCTGGTAACCCCTTCTCCTTGCACCGCGCAAAATGCTCCTATACGACCGAGCGTCTCAAATAGCTTCTGCTGTGGAAGAAAGCCCAACTCATTTGGTGTTTTGCCACCAAAGTGCGAGGGCGAAAAGCCAATACCCAGGGCTATAACCGGGCCGGTGAAGTAGGAGTTGACTACAAACCTTGATTCCAAACCAACCAAGAAGAGGTGTACGAACTACACCTCGGTTGTAGCAATGATCACCAGCTACTTTGGGCATTCAGGTGTATTAGGCACCATGGACATTTTATCCAGTCCGAAGGGCGTATGATCTGATGAACTGAACACCGGCCCTCAATGGATTAAGCTTTTCACACACTACCCCGCTGTCTCGAGCATCAAGCTCTGGTTGGTTAAAGGTTCCGGTTGATTTCCCCAAGAAATTTCAACTGCATTGGACTGGGCAACTTGGCAGTATTCCACCCACAAGCAAATCTTTTTGCAAAGATTACTGCGCTATCATTTATTTGGTACACAGTCCGGATTCAGAAGCGTATGAAATATAAATGAAACAGAAGTAAACTAAGCAAACTAACTCCGAGTTACTAGAGATCCAAGAACCCAATATAATAGGACTGCAACTTGGCGCGTTGTGATGGTTTGTGTACCTCTATGACTCAACGAGCTACACAGAATGGAATTATCAAGTCAGGATATCTTATCATGCCTGGAAGGTCAGATGGTAGAGACTAGACAAAGTCCAATGTCCTGTTCATCCTGGTCGGGTTCGACTCGAATTGGCGTCTCAGTCAGTAAAATGGTAGAGAAGTAATCGATTCAAGTACATGGGCCTCCACTTCGCTTCAATCGCTACCTTGCGGTTATGTTTTTGTTAGAACTAAAGGCTTTAGATGAGAAGCTTCATCGCTTTCCTGTTTAGTGGCTGCACACAGAGGCAATACTCGTCCATCAAACCACGAGAGGCACACTGATCTCCGGTACTGTAGTCTGAGAAGAATAACAGTGAATCAAAGTCAAGAAAAGCTTTATGCCCCCAAAGAGCGAATTCTGAGATACGTCATCATCATCATAATAGTACAGCGAAATACAGTGAAGCGAACTTCACTGATCACTACCAAACTCGCAATGCATACAATGTTAGCGGTAGAATTTAGGGGGGACAGCGCCTGGACCTATTTTGATGGAGGGAGAAGAACGTGAACCTCGATGGTCAACACACAGAGTGCACAATCGCACTCTGTATACATTTTGTTTCAAGCGTTCTTACCTGATAAGAAACGACAACAAGAACGCCATTGCAGTCAGTTCACTGCTATATCCTTTAATGTTTCCAACCAACCGATTGTGGAATCTTTCGGTCCAGAACCTGGGAGGTGAGAGACACCTACTCTACCTAATTACTCTGTGCATTTCTTCACGTCACGTCTCCACGTCATCCGCTGACCACAGAAGAATTAGTTTAATCAACACTGCTGTCGGTGCGCTGCCGTTCAGTTTCACTTTAAACAACCATCAAGCATGCATTTCGGTGCGACGCCTTTGTTTGCTATCTTTTGGATGCCCATTTGGGTGAACAATAAGAGGAAAACAAGATGGTCGAAAGTAGGATCGAAGAGAAAATTGAGAAGTTCAGCGGACTAATGAAGCACCTCGCGAAATGCTCCCACACGACCAAGCGTCTCAAATAGCCTCTGCTGAGGAAGTCCTACTCACTGCCTTCTCGTGGCGGAGGCGTTTTCAGACCAAAGAGGGGACGAATAGCCGACATCCCAGGGCTATAACCGAGTTGGTGGACCACTGGTAGTTCACCTAGGGGAGTTCGCCAAAAACCCTAATTCCAAATGAAACAAAAAGAGGCGTACGAACCACACACAAATTCTTCGTTGTGGCAGTGGTCGCCGGCTTGATTGGGCATCCAGGTGTATTGGGCACCTAGGACGTTTGACCTGGTCCAAAGGGCGTGTGATCCGACGAACTGGATACCGGCCCCTAATGGATTGCGGTTTTCACACACCGCCCCGCTGCCTTGCAAGTCAGGCTTTGGCTAGCTGAAGGCTTCGCCTGTGAATTCC